AAAAAAAAAAAGAATGAACGACTGTAAACTTATTAATTCTTAGAGATCTTGGCTTGAAGTATTCTCTCTTCTTGCAAGGCTGCAACAGCAGTGGACAAACTTGGGCAGAACCTATAAACTGCTAGTTAAAAAGCAAATTTTACAAATGCTGTAAAACATTTGTTTCATATTTTCCGGTAGGGGGCAGATAAACCACAGTTTTATATGAGAAAACCATGTCTCTTAAAGACGGGAATAAGGTGTGTGACGACCTGAAATACTAAGAAGTTATAGCGCATATACCTGAAAAAGACCTATAACTATTTACACAGCTTATGTTTCTCAATATCAAGAAGATTGTACTTGTAGTCTTGGGAAGAGCGGTTGTGCTAACTTGCCTCCCAAGAATGAACAAACTGTGTTGTTGTTAGTGTTAATTATTTCAATATTTTAATGATTTCCAGAGAAACTAGTCATGTCCAACAGGAAATTTTATGCTTAATAGATCTTGGTGTTCCATAGAGTCAATGGACATTAATTTATCTCTTGACAAGTATGAGAGTATGAGTAACATACAGACGTGGACATATTTGTGGGACAAAATTGTGGGTACTCATTGAAACAATGCTTCATTTCTCCTGGAAAGTGTTTCAATTAAAAGCAATTGCCTAATGTATACATGCTTGCCTTTAGTATGTAATCACAATAAAATTGTGAAATGAAATGATTTGTTGTTTATTTTACAAAGATATGCTAAAATAGTATGGACAGATTTGTTGGTACCCCTAAATAGACTATTTATTCTTGCATTATAGTCATGTTTCAATCAAAGTGTCATGCTACTGTGTTGTTTGGTATTATTGTGTGCACCACACTGAACATGGACCAGAGAAAGTAAAAGAGAGAGCTGTCTGAGGACCTCAGAAAGAAGATTATAGATAACCATGTTAAAAGTAAAGGCTATAAAACCATCTCCAAGCAGCTTCATGTTCCTTTGACCACAGTTGCCAATATTATTAAAAAGCATACGGTTCATGGGACTGTAGCCAACCTCCCAACACATGGATGAAAGAGGAAATGCAACCCCAGGTTGATCAGCAGGATAGTGCAGATGATAGAAATAAAGCCAAGGAAACCATCGAAAACCATTAAAGCTGAACTCCAAGGTCAAGGTATGTCACTTTCTGATTGCACCATCCGTTGCATTTTGAACAATAATGGGCTCCATGGAAGAAGACCCAGGAGGGTTCCACTATTGACAGAAAAAACATAAAAAAGCCTGAGTGGAATTGGCCAAAATGCATGTTGACAAGCCCAAAGGTTTCTGGGAGAATGCCCTTTGGACTGATGAGACTGATTGCTGCAAAAGGTGGTGCCACAAAATATTAAATTAAGGGTACCATCTTTTTTGACCGTGCCATTTTCATTTGTTTACTAATATAATATTCAACTGAATCAGTAATCAAAAGTAATGTACAATGTCTGATTTGTGTTAAATATGGAGTAAACAATAAGGGATGCCATTAAACTTTTGTCAGTGTCAAGTTATTTCAAAGAGACTTGTGTTTTTTGTGGCATGGTACTAACAAATTTGTCCATATCTGTATGGTGGTCCAAGAATGTTCACTTTTTCATTCATCAAAGGCAGCTACATATTTTGTAAATCCATACATAGTTTGGCAGGACAGCAAGTACAAAAGAGTATACATTTAACATCAGCGCGGATACAGCGGCATGTGCTGTACTCAGCAGATACAGGCAAATTCTTTTCCGTGCTGCACATGGAAGCTTATTTGGCATGCTATTCCCCAATGACAGATATTACATTTACTATTGTCCCTCCCTCTGGAGGCCATGCATGAATAATTTATGAATTCCCTGCTGAGAGGGACTTCAAACAAGGGAGTGTTTTAGACTGGAAGTCTTATGTGATTTGGCATCACTGGAACTCCCAAGTGCTTCAGTATAGAGGAAGTCCTTTCATCTGGGCCCCCAAAGTGGTTAAGGTCAAAGTTCACTAGGAGATAATGACACAGATGTACATCTGGATTAGCTCACAGTACCAGCATAGCTTGGTGGGAAGGCATAGGTCATAGTGATTCCCAGTGGAAGTGAGAAATCAATTAGTAGATTATTTGTCCATATATATACATATATATTTTTGAAGATCATGTCACAGGATTTCAGCTATGTCCATTCTTGTACTTTCATGAAAGCAAGGAGCATACTAAGAATACTATGATACTATAATGCCATAGTGTTTTTTAGAAGCCTTTGGCTTCAGATAATGACCTGTCTTAAATTTAAAAGAACACTGTTATTGGTATACACAGTGCAAAAACAAGTCTACTTACTGGAGGGTGACTGAATCATACACATCCCCCTGGTTGTTCCTATGTTACTGGGGACAAAAAACAGGACTAAAAGTACGAAGTCAGAACAAAAATAAGTGATTGACATTGTGGCATCTTGAGTCTAAGATTTTTTTTTACTTTGGGAAAACCTGGAGAATGCAGAAAACGTGGGAAGTTTATTTAGGGAGTTTGTTTTGCCGTAGTGGATGACAACACAGCCAAATTTCCCATATGCATTCATGTGAAAAAAGTACACCTTCTTACAGTTCTATGGTTTTATACACTCTTAAAAACGCTGGGTTGTTTTAACAACCCAAATGCTGGGTAGAGGATGCTGGATTAGCACTTTGGGTTAACTTGACCCAAATAGGGTTGACAATTCCTAATAACTGTAACCCAGCGTGCTAGGTATAGAATGCGGACCAGAAGGGGAACAGGAGCGTCACCTGTTTGCGCGCCAAGGCGAGGGAGAGGTGCTGTTCAAAGTGGTTGCATTTGTAACGTTATACGTAAGTCTTTTTTCACCACACATTTACTACATACATATAAGTACATATTTTAATTTTTAACTTAGTCGAATGTATTATTTTCATATTTTATAAAACAAGTGAGTTATTTTGTATTCTCAAGTTAACCTTGCTGTTAGGGCTATTATATAGGGCTGTGACGGGACAAGTATTCGTCGTGTACCGAATGAATACTTTTATACTTCTGTGTTTGTGATGATTTAATCTGAATTTTTAAACCAATAATATTATAGTTAACTTAGCCATCTTGTTTCGCTTAAAAATGTCTGAAGAGAACTCACAAAAACTGTGAATGCACTTTAAAGGTATGTGGAAAGCAGAACGTTTAAAGTGTGGGGACGTTAACATTAATGGTATATTTGGGAATATATTGTAATTAACTTAAATTCAGTTTGTTATTTTAACCCTGCGTTATCATCTGATCTTTTTCAGTCAAGCCTGCTGTGGAGCGCGCCAAAAGTTTGATTGTTCAGATTTTATTGTCAAGTGGACAAAATTAGCAAACTTTAAGGAAAAGAGGCGACGGTAAAATGCCTACTAAATACTGTCTGAATTTGATAAATTAGGCTAATAGACGTTACAGCACATCGACTCGACACGGATCATGCAAATAACGAGCTTTTAGCTGTATTTCTAACCGTAGGATGCATCTAGTTTTCATCCATTACTAAGAATTTTTACAATGTTAAAATGTATTTTTTATGCAGTGACATGGATAACTTTGTAAGAACCAAGCTGACTGAATGGAGTTTAGCATCTTTAATTCCCAAATTTGAAGGTATGTGCATATCACCTTCTTCTGTTTAATATATAATCTCTCTTTCAGTGGGGCAAAAAAAAGTTTTAAACAGATTTATGAGTTTTTATGCAACCTGTTTTAATGTTCTTTTTGTTTTTCCATTTCAGTTATTGGAAGGCAAGGTTTTCTTTGTTCCTTAACCTATATTTCTTCACATATCGTTAGTGTTCTGTGCCAGCTTCTCTCCTGACTTCCTTTTGCTATTGTGACCTTATGATTGGCAGCTTGCATTAGCATACTGTCTTTTTTACAGAGGAAATGATAGACCAGGATTGGTTTATATTTTGTAAAAACTTTTTTTTCCCACGTAATATTTGCTTTGACATCTTCCTTCTTGTACTTGTAGATTTCTCAGGACTTCTCAACTTTGTACCCTAACTGTGGTGAAATGCTCACTGTGAACTGGATGCCAGTCTTCAAAGAGAAGATCCTTCAGCTTGCAAGCAGAGAGAAGCGAGCTCTACATCTGATTTCAAACTTTGATTCTCTGTCAGCAGGTATAGCAGTTTAGCATATTGTATGTATAAGGAAAACTATACTCTATTTGTTATACAAAATGAAATATGACATTATCAGTTATTTTCACAAATGTAAAATTATACATAATTGCCAGTTGTCTTGGTAATAATGTGATTTGTTTAATTTGCAGGCATACAAGGCGACATTGCTCTACAAGTGCTCCCAGTGATACTTCCAACATCAGCATACAAGTTCAGGAGAAAAATGTTCTAAACAAGCTTCGCAGAAACCAGAAAGGCTTTCATTCATCTACGGCCTGTCAAGATGAGTTTGTGTGTGTGTGTGTGTGTGTGTATTTGCATAGATCACATTTGAGGACGAAATTGTCCCCAAAGTGTAGTAAAACCTGAAATTTCCCTACTTTTGGGGACATCTTTTGAGGTCATTCATTCTGCTGTGAACTGCACATGTTACTGTCAAATTCCTTGTGTAGCCTGATATAATTTCTAATAAACAGGTTGGAACCAATATGGCTGAATACTTGTGCAAAGCCGAGGAGAGCCAACCATGCCCCTTTGTTCTGGTGCTCAGTGAAAATGCCATGTGCTCGCAAGCCTTTGTGATAATCAATGGACAGGCACTGGAGCAGAGTACGCTGCTGGGGGCTGTGGGCATTTGTTTAAAAGCATTCTATGTCTTTGATATTAAATATCTCAAGCAGTGTGCACAAGTATGGGAATTCCTGCAAACTGTTGTGTATGAGCTACCTGGAGATGAGTCCCCTGCAATACGAATGGTGAGAGCACACGTTTTTGCATAGCTCACACCAAATGCTATTTTAATGTTATTTCAAAATGTTATTTTTTGGTTTTTCAATCACACATTCAGTTCTACAGAAGCCTAAAATTGGATGCTATTTAGCGTCATCTACAAATATTTAGATTTTTCTATATATTTTTAACTTCCATGGAAAGCTGTAATTGGAAGTTCAGCATATTTTAATGTGATTTAATGTGAATGTGATTTTTTTTTTCTGAACTTTTTTGTACTGTACTAGTTTAATCGCATACATGGATGTTAATCTTTCAATTAATGCTCTATGTCAATATTTCATGAGACTAATTGGAAGTTATCCCGTTTTACTTTTTGATGACATTTTTTGATCTTTTACAATCATAAAAGTGAAAAAAATCCATTGTTAAGAAATAAAAGTATTGAA